AACTCACCATTCTCAAGTTTCATGCGCTAGCGCCCGAGCCACGAAAACGATTTTTACTTTTATTTACACAACTTAATAGTTATCCTTCAGCATATAACAATGTTCATGTACAGTAATATTTAATAACAAAATGACGTTAGTATCGCGAAACTTAAATGGCTCTTGAAATTCACTTCGACTTCGATTTGTTCACGCCAGTTGCTCGCCCGAAATCCAAATGCTGACCAATTGTTCTCGCTCAGCTGAATTTATATGAAAATCGCGTGGCTCATTGCAGCAGCTCCGCCGCTAGGGAATTCCAACTCTCACAGCGCGCAGCCGCAGCATCGATCATAGCTTCATAGCTTCTCCAATTGTAGCATCTCCTTCGCATGCCTACGACTCTTTCCCTACATGCTTACAATACTTATTAGATGCGGTAACTGGCTAAGCGCTGCCAAACAGCTAAGACGCCGGCAACCTCAATCGCAGCGTCATCATCATAGCCAAAGCAACAAGCTCGACGTGAGGCCCCCCGACTAACTATGCCGGCGGCAACAAAAACCTCAGCAGCAGCAGTGACAGCTTCTGAATAGCGCACACCGAGCGAACGAGAAGATACACAAAGTATACAAACTAAACGGGCGTTGTCGTCTGTAAAGCGGCGCGGCGCGACGCGGCGCACGCTCAGTATCATAGACTAGCTCGACGGCGAGCGACTGACTTCATAAAGGTTTTTCCAAGCCCAATCATCATTAGAGCCACAACAAAGAGCATCATCATCGCGTTCATAGACGCTGACCGAATCTCAATGTATCGATTTAATTGTTATTGGAAACTCGCTTTTAATAATCTGTGCAACGGAGATTAATTCATAACAATTTTTTAATTTTTTAAATTTTTATTAAACATTGCAAGTACTTTACACTTATCAAATATTATACAATATAAATGCAATTTGTGATTGCAAGTTTCCCACGCTCTGGGTCAGAAGTTGACGTTAAGATTTGGAGTATTGGAGTATGAAGCATTACTTCACAAACTGTTGGCCATCAGAATCTTATGAACTCAAACCGAGCCAAGGGTGACTAATCAAATGCACTTGTTGCTTGTTAGCCGGAACCATATCGTTTCGTAGGTACGTCAGCAAAACAAGCAGAAAAATTGCCGAAATTCTTCGAATGATGATGGAAGCCTAAAAAAATCCGGCAAACTTTTTTCCAATTCGTGTCAATATAGTCACGGGCTGGACAAAAGAGGCTTCCAGATGTATTGCTGGAACCATTTGAAAGTTGAAACTTCATTCCTAGTGCGAAAAAAAATATTTTATGACGTCAGCGAATAGGTTAATGCTGTCAAATCGACGAAAGGTTAGCGGTTGGCGCCATCTTTATTTTCAATATAGTGGCACTGATATACGTACATACAACAAGCATTGATAAGAATTCGAGATAGAAAACTAATAGTGATTCCGTTTCTACCAAATAATATTGCCTTTTGATTGCCCCTTTCTCTTTTCGTGTTCGATTCAAAATTAAAGGCAAAGGGTGAGAAAATTGTGTGTTCGTTTCTTAAAATGTCACACTTTTGTAATATTACATTTACATTGGACCAAAATGCGTGATTTGAAATCAGTCATTTGAAGGTGTTTGCACTACTTGATCCGCATTTGCTTTGACTTCTCATCAAATGAAAAGGG